CTGCCAGACAACAAGATTGTGGAAGATGTGCACAACAAGATTCGTAATGATTCTTTGTTGAACAAAACCCGCAAGCAAACATACTCCACGATTCAAACTGTGATCGAGAATTCAAACGTCTTTGAAAGCCGTTCAATCAGGCATCCGGCAAAAGTCAAACGGGAATATTTTGAAAGGGAGTTTTGGAATGTGGACAGGAAGCGCCAAAAGTTGTGCTTCAGAGGATGTGTCCACAAGCTGCCGTCACAGTATACCGAGATTGTCGGCGACAAGACATGGAACACCCTGTCAGAAGAGACACTCGAACGAGCATCAGCTGCGTGGTCATGGCTAATTCACTACAATGATGCAAGACTGGCATCTCAGCATGTTCCCTTGCGTGCTGGGAAGTTTAGCAGCCTTGCAGCCCCTTTGAAGATCTTGAACCATGTCTTGGATTTGACATGCTATCTCTCTCTTGGGGCAAAAACCTGGGCTGCTCTCATGTGGCCAGTGGTCCAGCATGAGGACCAGTCGACAGGAGAGATATATTTTGTTTTGAAGGCAGAGTGCCCGGATGGTTCCAGCGTCAAGGCCTGCTGGATTCATTTGTATGAGCCCCAGTATTGGGAAGTCATCGAAACAGAGGCAGTCTTCTGGAATGGCTTCATTTGCCTCCGTCGTTGTGCTACAAGCTCAGTGTCACTTCTATCCTATATGTTGCAGCATCCCAAGTGACATGTTTTCATTTAGGATTCTGTCAACTGTCGACCCATACAGTAAATAGTACAATAAACTTATATAAGTTTTGCTGTGCTTGTTTTTGCTGACTCGACTGAGGGAAATGTCACAAGCATGTCGGACTCTCGCAGACTGCCAGAATCTCGCCGAGCATGTGATCTCCCAGACTGGAAACGTAGACGAAAAAAAGCGAAAGGAGCTGCAACGAATGCGCCGTCCAAAGCTCATGAGCCTGATCGCTTCTCATCACCTTCCGGAAGATGAGGATTTCATGCGCAAAATTGAGGCTATGTATTCGACAGCCAAAGATTCAACAGAGGATGAGGATGAGGATGACATTATCATGGGGGACTTTGTTGATGAGCTGGTTCTTGACGACCTGCTTGCTGAGGACAAACAGGAATTTAAAATGGTCTCAGACGCAGTCAGAAAACGCAGAATCAAAAGGGTGCATCAAACCTGGCAGGCCATCAAGACGCAGCAAGCAAAGGCCAAGGCAAAGGGCAAGGCCAAAGCAAAGACCAAAGCAAAGGCCAAGCCACAGGCCAAACGGAAAGCCAAGAGAAAGATTTGTCGCCCACGTATGTTGCCCAGGAAGCAACCCGCGCCTCCTGATGAAAGTGGTCAAGAGGGAGCAGAAGGCAGAGTGCCAGCACCTCCTGCTGAGGTGCCGGTGGAGCCGGAGCCTGATAATCACGTGGAGGCCGCGGAAGGCAGAGTGCCAGCCCCTCCTGCTGAGATGCCGGAGGTGCCTGCTGCAATCCCTGTCCCAGAGCCTGATGATCACGTGGAGCCCGAGGAAGGCAGAGTGCCAGCCCCTCCTGCTGAGATGCCGGAGGTGCCTGCAGTGCCTATCCCAGCACTCGAGCCACGGGAGGTTGCAGTCCGTGGCCCCCAACATCAGCGGCGGCCGAACCGTGTTGACTACCAAGGGGTATGGACACCTGTTCAATGCCCGGAGTGTCCCAAGATCGCTGGTGAGATGAAGTACGACCCGAATCCTGGTGGCACTGACAAAGCAAAATGGTTTCTCCGAGTTCGTGTGACAGACGGCGGTCTCTTGGAAAGATTCGGAACATTTGTTATAGCTTCGATGTGGTTGCCTGATCTGCTGTGTGTTGTGTCACATTACATGAACCCATGTGTGTCTGGCATTGAAGGCGAGTGGAGCCACCTCGTACCCTATCACTGGGGACGTGTGGCTTCCAAGATGACAGAAGCGCAGGCCAGACAACACGTCATTGACCATAGGCCCTGTTGTGGCCCGACCAGGAGGCCTGGCAACAACTAGAGGATTCATCCTGCGCTGCAAAGAAAAGTTGTGTGTCTGTCTGTGTGCTTGCATTGATGGCAGCGGGTCCTGCTAGATTGGAATGCGTCCGAGAGACTGTGTGTTTCTGCTTGGGGAAGACGGATTGCGAAAGCATGTTCGCATTTTCACACATGTGGAATTTGTCACGTGCAAGCACATGGACAATCATTTCGAGTGCCACAACCCGGAAGCCGCACAAACTAGCACATGTGGTTTGAAGCCGTGCGTGCTTGTGACTGAACAGTAGCCGTCCAGAGCAATGCATTTCGCCCCGATCGAACGAGGAGAGTGTTTCTTCAGAGGCGAGCTCTCCCCAATCTTGATCAAAACCGCTTGCGAAAAATTGGCCAAAGCGCCTGACCAGTGGAAACCAGCTGAGAGATGGAATGAAGTTTATGACGACGTGCCTTGGGAAATCATGGTTCGCTACCTGCGTTACTGGCCACGTATTGGCTCCCGCATTACAGGAGGCCTCAGGCTTCTTCGACGGTACCAAGGCCCCTTCCCGAAGTGTTATCAGGTGGGTGAAGGAGAAGAACCGCTGGAGTTGCCGCGCGTTTCTCTCGTTTGTGATTTTGTTTATGTTTGGAACGACGAAGATGAACAACAACGGCAGTTTGTCCTTCAGATGAAACACCTCTCACTTGTTGCCATCCGTCTCGGTGGTCCGGGGGAACTTCCTGACCTTGATGCTGGAGCAATACCTTTGACCGACCAGCTTTGTGCAAAGTTGGGGTGGCAATAATTAATGGATCTTGAGGCGGGAAGGCAGAGTGCCAGCAGCTGGGAAGGCAGAGTGCCAGACGTTGTCGCGTCACCCAGCTGTACCCTGCTTCGCCTGCACGTGATTCGCTTGACAGTGTGGTCAACGCAGAAAAGCGCAACATCCAGCAGTTCGTAGCCACTTCACGCGATTTGTGCATCCCTAATACTATCAAACCCTAAAACTATGGCACTCTGCCTTCTAGCCCCAAACCCTAAATACTAAAGACCCTGAAACTCTAACCCTAACCCTTTCATTACCCTCAAACCCTAACACTATGGCACTCTGCCTCCTAACCCCAAACCCTAAATATACTAAAGACCCTGAAACTCTAACCCTAACCCTTTCATTACCCTCAAACCCCTAATACTATGGCACTCTGCCTTCTAACCCCAAACCCTAAATATACTAAAGACCCTGAAACTCTAACCCTAACCCTTTCATTACCCTCAAACCCTAACACTATGGCACTCTGCCTGCTAACCCCAAACCCTAAATACTAAAGACCCTGAAACTCTAACCCTAACCCTTTCATTACCCTCAAACCCCTAATACTATGGCACTCTGCCTTCTAACCCCAAACCCTAAATATAATAAAGACCCTGAAACTCTAACCCTAACCCTTTCATTACCCTCAAACCCCTAATACTATGGCTAACCCCAAACCCTAAATATAATAAAGACCCTGAAACTCTAACCCTAACCCTTTCATTACCCTCAAACCCCTAATACTATGGCACTCTGCCTTCTAACCCCAAACCCTAAATATAATAAAGACCCTGAAACTCTAACCCTAACCCTTTCATTACCCTCAAACCCCTAATACTATGGCACTCTGCCTTCTAACCCCAAACCCTAAATATAATAAAGACCCTGAAACTCTAACCCTAACCCTTTCATTACCCTCAAACCCCTAATACTATGGCACTCTGCCTTCTAACCCCAAACCCTAAAGACCCTGAAACTGTAAACCCTGTGCCAGGTCTTCTTCATCCTCGTCTTCTCGGAAAAAACATTAGTTTTTTTGTGTGTTTTAAAGTTTTTAAAAAATTTTAAAAGTTGTTTAAAGTCTTTAAAAGTCTTTCAAATTCTTTTTAAAGTTTGTAAAAGCTTTTAAAAGCGTTTAAAAGTCTTTTAAAGTCTTTTTAAAGCTTTTAAATGTATTTTAATGTTTTTAAAAGTCTTTTAAATATTTTAAAAGCCTTTTAAAGTTTTGAAAAGTCTTTTAAAGTTTGCAAAAGTCTTCTAAAAGTTTCTAAAAGTCTTTTAAAGTCTTCTAAAAGTTTTTAGAATGTTTTTTCTTGCATTTGAAAGTTTTTAAAAGTCTGTAAACGTCTTTAAAAGCCAACTCTGTCGAAAAAGCCCTGTGGATCTAAACCTTGTGGTTCTGGTTCGGTGCAAAGGGGCAATGAGTTAAGGGGCCTTAGCAGTTAGAGTAGGGTTTGGTTTAGGGTTCAAGGGGGCCTGTCACAGAGGCTTACTTTCAGGGATCTATGATATAGGCGCTGTAACTTGGAGTAGGGTTCCTCTCAAGGGAAGGGTTCCTTTCACCTTAGACAGCCCGGGGGAAGTCAGGGCTAGGAGTGCATTAATGACGGTTTCTCGAAGACTTTCATGGGGCGTGTATGGATGAATGGATGTATAGATGGACGGATGTATAGCTAAACCCTAAACCTTAAACCCTAAACCCTAAAGATGTATAGATGGATGGATGTATGTATTACTTACAGGCCGGGTTCGCCCGGGTGTCGGTCGAAACCCTCAGGCCCTCCGTCCTTTCTACGGCTCAGAAAAGGAACCGCTTTCTTGCGGTTGTTTTGGGTTTCAATTTTTGCGTTTTTTGTAAGTTTGTCAGTGTTCTGAAGATTGTCGTTTGATATTCAAGTGCTTTACATTGTTCTTAAGGCCTGTTGAGTTCCCGGAAGGAGACAGGTTGGATTGATGGTTCTGGTGGCTCAGCTACTGTATTGAAGAGCAGGTTTGGGATATAGTAAAAATGCGCCTCCAGCCCTGCAGCGCAACTGCCGAAACCCATAAATCGTGTGGCCAAGTTTGTTTTTGGTCAAGTTGATACACCTTGTATATAACTAAGCTGAACAACAGAGGGTTGTTTATTCTGCTTTAAGGTGTGAACTCCTTTGCTTAAGTTCTGAACCCTGGCCCTAGCGGCAAGTTGAGCTCTCTTGATATCGCAAGGTCTGGGACATGAACGAGCTGCTTCTGGCTTTTCCTGCGTTGAACGCGACGTCGTTTATCAAGATCGACATTGACTCTTGCCTGAAGCTGTAGGCTGACTGACCGCGCACAGCGACATGAACCTCACAAGCCCTGGTTTTTCGGTACTGGCAAAAGTCTCCAATTCAGGCATACATTCAGGGTCAACATTAACATCTTAAAGCGTTTGCAGAGTGTGGGGCCTACCCAAAGGCCCCAAAGCACTTCCTTTTTGGGGTTCATATATAGAATCCTATAATAAGGTAATCCCAAATCGAACTACCATGGGGCCTGACCTGAACCTCCCTTCCATTCCCGACGTCTCTTTCGACTCACATGGACCTCCATCCGGTCGCTTGGCATTGGGTTGGGATAAAACCACACAATCGAAAAATCCAAGAAAATTAAACCCGACATCCTAAAAGGAACCCTGAAGTCCTGAACCCTATAAACCCTAAACCCCTAAGCTGACCCCCTGAAGCCGTGCCTGCGAGAGCGGGTGTGCGAGTCGCAGCCCCTAAACCTAAACCGTCCATTTTTGGGGCTCAAAAACAAAACGTCCATTGTTTTTAGCCCCCCCCCCCCGCTCAGACCGTATCAAATGCCCACGCCCTCAGGAAGGCTCCGAAAGGGACTTGATCCCAGCGATGGCGGATTTCCTCCGTCGTGTGCAGCCGACCGTCCCGCGACTGCAAGGGTGCGGTTTCAGGGTTTGGGGATGGGGTTTATGGTTTGGGGTTTGGAGATTTACGTTTCTTCTTTCTCCCTAAGCGGTGTCCCTGACCGTCCGGAACACCCTTAAGATGTACATGTGGGCACAATGGTTTTTGCATGCACGTGAGACTGTGCGGTTCTTCCTCACAGGAGTGGGGAGATTTGGTTGCTGTACGCGCATGCTCTGACACAGTGCGCAATATATATATATATATATATATATATATATATATATATGTATGTATGTGTATATATATATATACATGTATATATATATATATATATATATACATATGTATATATATATATGTATATATATATATATATATATATACATATTAACCCTAAACCCTAGAACCGTTCTTTCCACAGTCTTGCATCGGCTGCACTCCTCCCACAGGCTGATGTCGACTGTAACACCCATGCAGAACAAAAACACAGTAGCAATACTTGGGCGGTGTGAATAAAATTGAGTCGCGCCTCCCCAGCGGTGCTGTGCTGTTTAAGCTTCGACAAGTGTATACAAGTGTCCCAGCCTCTGCAGGGTCAAGGGAGCTTCAGGGACGTTTCTGGAACCAGCCGAGCCGAACGCGGAAGTTCAAAGAAGTACACACCAAGTTGGAAGAATCGAAAAGTTGGACGATGGGTTTATGCATTCTGCGGGGTGCTGGAAGTTTTGATGGGTAACCGGGTATCTTCCAGTTTTGCGGCTGCTAGTATAACTAACCTTGCTAGCTGTCAGCTTTCAACTCAAAACAAGACTATGGCATGCTAGACTTTTTGGGGCTTCTGTGGTTTCGCTTGGGATGGGGGAAGTTTTGGAGTTTTGGGGGGTTGGCCCCAGCCCGAAGACGGGCTATGCAGGATCTTGCTTTTGGGCTTGGCTTCAACACCTTCAGGCTTGAACCCTACAGCTTGGATTTCTTAACGACCATATCAGGTTTTGGTCGAGAAGATAAGCGCAGAATGTCGCTCCCCAACACGACCCAAATCGTGCTTGAACGGCCCGATTCTGTGATGCAGAGCTCAAGTCCCGGCTTCTCCTCAGCATCCTCGTGGTAATACTAGTTACTACATGCTACGACCTATATTGCTGTAACTGCTACTTCTACTGCCACTGCGGTCACGACGGCGAGGTATGGCTGTCCCTGCATCCATACGCTCTGAGCCAATGCTGCACTGCCGGCAGGGGTGTTGGGGAAGCCGCACCATGATGTAGGTAGTGCATATTGGGAGGTTTCCTAAATGCTCGAAGAACTTCAAACCACAACACCTCTCATAGGCATACAGAATGTGAGTCTCAAGCCCTGGACTTTGAGGCCTCAGAGTGCTGATTCACGATGGAGTTCACAATAGTTGTGTCGTTTTGGTTTGTTGTTGCTAGTTACAGTGGAGCTTTGGTGTTCGTAATAAGAGCGTTGAGCCCAAAACTGCAAGGTGTAGGAGTGCGCAGCATTCACGCGGTCTTTCGGTTCGGGTCTCAAGCCCATTAATGGCGAATCAATAATCCCAAACATGCTTAACTCAGCCCTCAGAGTCTGTCGCGACGTTGCCTTTCATAGAAAGGTAGGACTTCATTTCTGTTTGTCGTTGTTTGCTTGGACTTTCAAATACTTCCTGGAAGCTCCTTTGACCTGAATGTCTTGAAGATGTATCGAACCAAGCTGAGATGATAGGATGAGCCTTGGCGGGCTTAAGCTTTCGGATGGTTTTGCAGTGGTGATCCAAGGACACCGTCGGAAATGAACGCCCTCGTGTCGTCGTTGAAGGCTCGCTACAGGGCGCATGGACTCGAACATTTTAGCAAGTACTGTAGCTGTTGGTGCGTCACCCTAGACCCTAAATCCCTACGAACCCTAAACCCCTAGATCCTAAACCCTAAACCCCTACAAACCCTAAACCCCTAGATCCCAAACCCTAAATCCTAAGCCCCTTAGACGTAAGTCCAAGCCTGAGTGCTGAAACCCTAAAGCATCCTAAAGCCACATGGTTAGAGTTGCTCTTAGGGGCCCTAAACAGGGCTCCCTTAAAAAATCTGCAGCGGTTTCTCTAGGGCTTCTATGAGAATACTATAAGGTTAGTTGCGGCTTGGATCCTGATTTGGAGAAGTACTCACATTCTCAAAGAAGGAAGAGAAGCAACACGATGTCCGAGCCCAGTCCAGAGGAGAGCCAGGAAGAGTGGCTCAGCCGAAAAATCCGTCCTTGCGCTACTGTGCTAAGATAGAGGCCTCGATAATTGCGAGCATAGTTCTCTCAAATTTCATGTCGGAGGTAGTATAAAAGTTCGGTTCCACATTTCCTCATGTCGAAAAGCCACAGGTACAGTGTTGTAAGTAGACTTCGCGGCCCCGGGCCCGACGTTCACGGAGGTAGTGTATAATCTCTGTTTACATAAATAGAAATCCACATGAGGGTTTCCGACAGTTCGGGGTATCTTATTTTGGGGTCCTTATAATAAGGCTCCTAGTGCTTATGGTACTATACTAGAGTCCCTATTTTCTGAAACTCCCACATGTATAAGAAACGGCTTTGTAAATTAGAGGGAACTACACTATTAATGGTTTCGGGTCGTCTAGATCTACATCTGCGCACTGCGGACTTGAGAACCCCCACCCAAAAAAAAAACTCAGGCCAATTATACATAGTATAGAACCAATATACAACCTCCCAACACACAGTATTGAGGCGAGGTTGCACTACAGTGCTCGAAAGAAGGGGTCCTTCTGTCCTGTTGGTGGGGCTCCTTGCTTATGTAGAAGCCTGATTAAGAACCCTGGGCCTATAACCCCGAAATAGTAGGATTCATATAAGGAACCCCGATAAAGGCCCAAGGATTCTGAATCAGGTTCCTACATTACTAATGTCCGCGAGAACCTTCACGGAACCGCCGTGTCCCTCTTAACTTCCCTCGGGGGGACTCTCGCTTTCCAGAAGAAGGTGTGGTTGCCGGCTGCAAAAAAAAACCGTTCCCTAAGCCCTACAAACCCTAAACCCTAATCCCTAAACCGAATTTTTTAATTCGTCAGGGCGTATATCGGTCTATTCGTGCTAGTATTCCTTCTATAGGGTGTCCCAGTAAGTTTATGGTTCCAACATATTTTCTGCAATAGCTTGTTTTCATGTGGCAGGACTTGTGCCCCTTTCTCTACGGCTTGCGCTGGAACAGCAGCTGGGTGGCCTGTCCTGTCCGAGTAACAGGCTCGGTGTTTTGGGTCTAACTTGAATCTAAGCTTCTCTCCCGTGGGTTGAGGACCGGGATTGACAGTAAACTCTCGACGATCCTGGGTTTCGTCTACGTTTAGTTGGTATAGGAGGTTCTTGTTGGAAAGCACAGCTCGAGGCCCTCTGACATCCTGAAGATAGTAAACCCAGGAACTGTGTTTGGCAGGGGTACATTTGTGTGCAAAAGCTGGCATTCATGCGTGCAGGAGTCATGAGTTGGGATCAAAGAAACCATTAATTGCTGTGTAGGCTTGACTCAGTTCCAATGACGACACGATTAAAGCAAAACCTCACAACAGTTCAGAAAAGCCCACAACTAACACTTGAGGCCTACATAGAAGTCCGCACCATTCCGGCAAGAGCCCGCAACTCAGCCCAGCGCAAACAAGCACAAGACGATTCCCAAATCGTCAAGCACTGCCCCGGGGAACTCCAACACACCTTTTGTTGGGTCTATAGGGACGCACTTATCTGTCTGTTATGTAAACTATGTAATTGTAAGTCGTCCCTGCCGAAACCCGACAGATTTGGGGTTTTGCGTTTCGGTCAGCCCGTGTCACCTGAACCTCATTCAATACTGATGCGACCAATTCCTGAATAGAGTTTAGGGGTTTGGGGTCTGCCATTGATCATTGCGGCCCTAGGCATCTCTAAACTTTACATGTCTCGCCTGCCACCCTCCAGGCTGACTGCAGAGCCTGCAACCTTCGTTTATCCCACCGAATCCCAAAGCGGCGAAGCTCAGAGAGCCAAGGCCCTGGCAGACTTTCACGTGACTGGCCGGATGGTGGATCGCATGCCGCAGGCTTCACTTCGATTGAAATTGTGTTTGGAGGTTCGGGGCCTGGGGCGTAGGGGTTCAAGGCATATGCCGCGGTGTTGTTTCGGTTCGGAAGAAGTGGCGCCTACAAGACAACGTGGACTCAATACTGCTGCCTACCACCTACGCTTTCATTTGTAGTTGTCGTTGTTTTTGTTGGCCGACCTCTTCGAGCCGTGTTGTACTCAAAAGCAGCCAGGGTCTAGGAATGCCATGAAGCTCTCAATCCGCAATCCTCAGGGACAGAAAGCAACACAGTGCCCTGAGCCTCAAAATCAGAACCATGAAGTCTAGACACCCCAAACCCTGAATGCTAACGGCGCAAAAGAACCAATACTTTTTCTTATGCAGCCCTCACAGAGACCCCGTAGAAGCCTTTGAAACGGTAGTGAATACTTAGTCACAGCATCGCCTTAGTCCACTCATACTCTGCTTCACCCCGCCAAGCCCTATCCCAATGGCTCTGAAGGCCCCGGTAGTAGGTGTAAACCCTGCGACCACCCGCTTCGCAGGTTGCCGACTCTGCCGACGATGCGCCTCCTGGACTAAACATAGCATGCAACCAGAGACACCAGTACCTTTTCGCACAGGCTTTACAAGCACATCCCATGCTATGTACATTTTCATATATTTTCATATATACATATGTCTACATACACATTTGCATGCATGCATGCATGCATGCATGCATAGACACAAGTGTGTGTGTGTACGCATACATATATACGGATACAATTTGTATGCATGCGTACATATACACAGACATGTGCACGAATGCGCGCAGGCACACGCATGTCTACATGCATGTAGATATATATACAAACACATACATACATGTATGTATGCATGTGCGTAAATATGTACATATGTACATGTATATATATATATATATATAACATATATTTACATATATGTATATATATATATATATATATGTATGCACGTAGAACACATACAGATATCGGTGTGTGTGTGTGTTTGTGCCTTCTTGAGGATTCAGACCATGGCTCGCATGAAAACTGCTGTAGGACTTGCTCTGGCTTTGAAGGGTTTCCTTTGTTTGTTTGCTGGAGGCTCGAGGGGTTTAGGGTTTGATGTACTTCATACTGCTTGGATTACCCAACTATGGGTTTGGAAGGAGCTCCTGCTTCTACATGATATAGGACGAATAGAGGACCTTGACGATGGAATTGCTAGGGTGCCTGGTATCCTTCACCAGCAGATTGTCGTTCAGGAATACCTGGTGCAAGACAGGACGTTAATGGCTTTAGCATGCTTTAGCTGAACTCTCCGACACCTATGTAGATTTTGTGCTGTTGTTTTTGAACTGGGCTTTGTGAAAGATGCATGGGTTCAGCATCATTCTACTTGAAAGGATGGAGCAACAGACAGAGCTTGTAAAGGGCCTCCATGTCAGACCAGCTTATCCTCTACTTCTGTGGTTCATTCATAAAGAAAGGTCGGTTCGCAGGGCCCAGGTGGAGTGTGTGGGTTTTGGGTCGATGGCCTTTCGGCTTGGTCGGGATAGACACGTCTCGGCTCTGTGGTCTTTCGCCCACACTCCAGGGTTCAGGTTTCAGGGTGATACGTCGTCAGGGTCGGGCTTTTCGGGTGTAGGGTACTGGTGTAGGGTGCAGAGGCTCCAAAAACAAAGTGGTGATGGTGTGGATTCCGCGGCTAAGAAATGCTAGCGACAAAAACGGATTGGCTGCAGGTGAAGCGGATACCTCAAGGTGGTTCGAGCATTGGGTTTTCAGGGTTTAGCATGTGAGGTTTAAGGTTTGGCGTGGAGTTCATAACAAGTGTTCTGGGAAGGTTCAGGGGAGATTCTAGACGAGCTTGTCTCAGCTCAAAGGAGGCACATACGCAGCAGGAACCAGTGCTTCGAGGAAACTTCTTACATATTATTTCTGGGCCCTTGTTGGTTATGATTTTACATTTTTGTCATAATAAAGCCCAGTAAAGATCAACAATGATCATTTTAATATAGCCCCAACAGGGAGCCAGATTAGCGAGCTAGCGACCGACCTTGTTGTCTCGGACCGTCGTAGGACAAAAGAACAAGCTGTCCGCAGGGCTACTGCTCAGGGTATCGGCCTTGAACCTACTAAATCCCAAGATGCCGACAAAACACCTTGAACCCTACACTGCTTCTGAGAAACCCTGGTCCCAACAGATCCAACACGCATAAAGGGAACTGCTGAATACGTGTCAAGGGAGTTCCCCCTTAGCGACATCTCCACCTGCCACCCGGTAAGACCTTTGCGCCATAGTGCGAACAAAGGTGCGGCCACGAAAACGAAAAAGCAAAGCTGAGCCCACCCCACGCCTCGAAAGAAAAACGAGCCACTTGAGGCTCTGCCTATTCGCCCCAGCACCTCGAGATTTCCTGGCGCCCTAAGGGGACAAAGAAGGCTGAGCCAGGGTGTTACAGACAAATCGTTGTGGCGGACCTGGGTTGCAGGGCTTTTCAGGTTAAATCTGTAACGGGACTGCAACTCAGTCATGCTTGCGCTTTTGGATTCTGGCTCTGTCGCAAGAGGTTTTCTGAGATTCCGGTGTTTAGGTCCAGCAGTCGAGGTTCTGTGATCACATTCAGGGCTCAGACCGACTTTTGGATGAGTTTCTTGTGAGGGTGTGTGTGTGTGTGTGTGTGAGAGAGAGAGAGAGAGAGAGAGAGTGTGGTCTTTGAACTCTGCTTGAACAACTGGCGTGTAGGAGTTCCCAAAGCACCTGGTGTGTAGTTTCGACACTGGTGTGGGTTAAGCCTTTATGTCTTATTCAATTGCTTAGCAGGCTTAAGGTTCTTTGTCGTCCATGCCTTTGGCACTTGATTTACACTGAGGCTTTGCATTTATGCTTCTTTGCTTCAGGGCGTAGATGTGTCAGGATGCAGCGTCGTAGCACGTAAAGCCCTAAGAAGCCCAAGAGTTTCCTCCTTCTACATGGAGCGATCGCAAAGCCCAAATGCTCGGTTGGGGTTTAGGATCGGGTGGCTTGGTGAGTGGTTACTCTACCCCAAAGTCTAGACCCTGCATCACCCCCCAAATGCAACGCTGCAGAGGCTCTGACGGCTGACGAGTTGCCTCAGCCTTCAAGCACGCTGCGTTTCAGCGGTGCAAAAGCTGGCCCCAAGCGTGAAGTCGGTTCTCATCCTTTTCGATACCCTCCTATAGTCTCCATTGTAGCTCCTTTTTGGGGTTGCCTTTTAGGATCCTTAATATAAGATTATAAAATTGGTCAAACCAAAAAAAGGAACTACAATGGAGACTATAGGCTAAGTTTGGCTACGGCTCAAGGATTAGCTGTTGATGGACCGGAACACTTCCGGAGGACAAACCCCATGCCCAGCCCACATTAAGCTTAGAAAGTTGGGGGTTGTGGACTTGTGTAAGGGGAAGCACAAACGTGAGGGCCTTGCATTTGGTCGGAGTAAATATTTGTGTGTTTTACCATAAGCTTGTTGTTTGGAGAATATAGTGCGGGATCAAGAAGCTCTACAATCATATGTCCGCTGGAGCCCCCCAAAACACCATATTTTAAATACCCTAAACCCTCTCCCTATACAAATTGGACCTCTGACATTGTCATGAGTGGTGAATACCCGAAGCCTTGCATTCGAAGCCCACACCATATACACCCCGAGACCCCATTAGTTTGGGAGTTTCAGGAAACACGGAGTGCATATCCATCTATAAACGAACAAATGCATGTATTAATTGGTGACTACCTGCATGATGACCGATGGGTATATGTATGTATAAGCACCAAATCATAGTAACCAGGACAGCTACAAAGAATTCCTGATTTGCCAACATTGCTTGGTACAGGCTTTCTGTTATCGAGAGTGAGCAGTCGACGGCTTAGTGAGAGTGTACTGGTTTCTCTAGATGAACTAAGTGTCCAGAGGTTGCAGTTCAACGTTGGTTTCAGTTTCTAGCCAGAACTAGGCCGTTTTTGAACAGATACTCTAAGCCCCAGTATTTTGCATGTTCTGACGAAGCAAGGCATTGTATGATTTCTATAGCTGTTGCAAGATCAGCACATGGAGTTACGGTTCTGTGTATTTCCGGGGAGTTAGAGATTGCAGCTCAGTTTGGGTTGGCTTCATGTTGGTACCCGAACTTAACTGGTCGTTTGTTGTGTTTCCTCTTCAGGATTCTCAGTCGTGTCAGGGTGCTGTTTCTTCCAGGGCTCACAGTGCCCATGCCAGGTGCCTCCAGTCCAGCACAAGAAAGAGCCAATGAGCGTTGCGGAGCAAGCGTGCTTCATAGAAGCTGCTCTTGAAGCTCACAGTCGTGAAACGTGGATACTGAAAAATCTGAAAACGTACGGATCAATTTTCAAGTCTGTAGGCGGGTCCCTAGAGAAGCTGCCAGTTTGGGATGAACCTATCCGCCCCAAGTGGCGCACTGGACGCTTTTCTGCGTGGGAGACAAGACTGCCTGCTTTGCCAGTCTTTGGTAGTCCCGCAGCAGTGGTTCCGGGATTTCGGTTTAGCGGCTTCGGTCGTGGGTGTTTACAGGGCCCTATGTCCAGTTCGGGTGAAGATTCTTGGGCTTAAGTGGCACATGTTCTCAACCCTACGTGCTTGATTATACGGGGCTTTCATAAATGCAAAGCGGACCGAAATAGCACTCCACCCATACCAGATCATACCAAACTTGCGGCCCAATAAATTTGGAATTCTACGATTTGGGCATTCAGAACCGGGTTCCTACAAAGGCTTTCGGGGAAGAGCCTAGAGGGTCGTGATGCCGGCATGGGCGCTGACAAAAACGTGACTGCCGCGTTTTTTTCTGAGGCAAGGAAGTGTTGCAGGATAGGGTTGTCATTACTGCTAGTGCTTAAGATCCGTATGAGAAGCGCTTGTGCTGTTGGAGAAACCCACGGTTCCACAGGAATCATGTACTTCGGAGGCAATCGTAAGCTGCGGCAACACTCGCACAGTAAGCCCTTCAGGGACTCTAGAAAATACTTGCTGTCAAGGTAGGCGGGTCCTTCCGACTAGGATGTACCCCTAAACCGCGAAACCCGATACCCTAAAGACCTACACCTCCAAAGCCCTAGTCCCGTAGACCCCCAGTCCTAAAACAAAACTTTGCTCACGCCTTCTGGGGCCAATGTGCTCGTCTGCCGTACCATTAACCTCGCCAGGATTTCCCAGTTGTGAGTGCTGGCAGGCAAGGCTTCGTAAGGTTCAAGCAAACCCTAAACCCTCAACCCTGAACCCTAAACCCTAAACCAACCAACCTAAACCCTAAACCGAAACCCCCAAAATCCCTAAACCCTAAACCCTAAACCAACCAACCTAAACCCTAAACCGAAACCCCCAAAGGCCGTTCCGATGTCGAGGTTGGACCCTCGCGCTGTTCAAGCTCAGGAGGGCGACAACCAGTTCCCGCAGAAGTGCAAGGTCGCCTCAGGGCGGGTCGTTTTCCCAGAGAGCCCAATACCCTTATTTATTTAAGGAATTTAGCCTAAATCATAATATGAACCCTCTTATAGTTTAAGGTATATTCCTTAATTAAGGGGTATTGGGCTCTCTGGGTTGTTGGGTTTTAAGCTCTTTAGCAGTAGGAGTATAGAGGTTTCGGAAGTCAGGGTTTGATGAAGGGACAGGCGGAGTTCAGGAGTCAAGGGTTTCGTTTCTGCTCTCCTCTTAAGCCCTGAACCCTAAACTCGGAACCCTGCCAGGACCCCCCAAGTACCCTTTAATAAAGCCCTTATGGTCCTTAATAGTGGGTATTTAGGGTATATTAAAGGGTAGTTGGGGGGGTCCAGGTGAACCCTAAACCCTTAAAGCCCCTAAACCCCTAAACCCTAAACCCTTAAAACCCCTAAACCCCTAAACCCTAAACCCTTAAAACCCCTAAACCTTAAACCCTAAACCCTAAACCCTTAAAACCCCTAAGCCCTAAACCCTTAAAACCCCTAAGCCCTGGGAGGTCCGCCAGCAGTTGAAGCTCGACGGAGCTCCGGACACCGGCTCAGACTCGAGGAGTGTTTAGTGGCTTAGGTTTTGGGGTGGTTTAGGGTTTTGGGTTTTGGGTTTAGGGTTTTGGGTTTAGGGTTTAGGGAAACGGGGCTAAGAGTTTCGTGGGCGCTGGCCGGCACCTCAGTCCGTGCTGAAAAGGGTTTTGGGTTTTTGGTTTTGGGTTTAGGGTTTTGGGTTCTGGGGTGGAGGACGGCATAAACCCGAAAGTCTACACCTTGCGAAAGAAGGCTTTCTCTGCTGCATAGGCCATGATCCAAAAACGGCTGGATCATTGCCAATCGTATTCCGAGGGTGCCTGAATATCTTTTTTAATCTATACCCAAGCCCTATTCGCATGATGCAGTCTCCCATATGTGTTCAAGTTGTTTAGTGATATACCTCCTCTTTTCGCGGGGAGTCGCTCAGGGTTGTTGTTGCCGATCTCATTGGAGGGATCATTGAGCTGATGTCGCTGATATGTTGTAGGCTGCGACGTTTTGCGACTTAGCACACTCATTCAACACAGGTAGACTTGGCACTCGCACATGAAATCATGCTTTCGCAAGTTGACATGTTAGGTACGCGTTTCCCCCCCAACCCTGCAAAGCCAAGCCCAAAGCCACATGCTCTCTACCCTGAACCAATACTCAGACCGCGCGGCCTTGTCCCCTTTACCACGACCCCAGAGAGCATGAACCCAAGCTTCAAACAAGGCACCCTGTGGCCGCTTGTCCGTCCTAAATCACAAACCCGTACTTCAGCCGCATACTGCCCTCAGTCCTGAACCCCACACCCGTACGCAAATCCCAGAAAGCCCATCATCTGAAGTTAGCCGTAGCCCTGAACCCAAAACTAATCCAACCGTTGCACCCTGATACCTTGTAAGCCCTCCACTGGCTGTCCGGCCCAAAAGCCACTGCCGTGGGGTTCGGTAGACCATGGCCTTTGCTTTGGTCAGCCCGGAGCTAAGTCGCCGGAATGCTTGAAGGTGACGTAGGCTTAGAGTCTATAAGGTTTAAGTAGAAAACGGAATCTATGGATCAATCTTACGGGCAGTCTGTCAGAGGGAGGGGGAATGGGAAAGGCTGGAGGGAGGAAGACGAAGAGACTGAAATTACCTCAGGGTACACGGTTTCGGCTCTACGGCTGAGGAATGCAGTTTATATAAGATCTGGATATAGGGCATTTTCCGTAGTTGCGAGGTATTGGCTTTTTCTGAGTTCCCAGGCTTGTCCTCAGGCTCGAGTTGAAGAAACGAGATGTCGGAAAAGTTAAGTTTAGCGTTAAGGGTTTAGGGTTTAGCAGTCATAGCAAAAGCACACACGCACACACCTCACGTACTGTCGTAGTAGATCATCGGGTCGTGAAAATTTCCGGCTGTAATTGCTGCCGTGCTTGTGTCTGTTGAAATGTGGCTTTAGCAG